AGCATTCACTTTGTTCAATCAGTTTAGAACACCTTGTGGCAAGGAATGGAAATAAGGGTAGAGGAAGGAAATAAAAACCTCTTTTCATTTTTTCCTACCTCATCTCCAAAGTTACACAGTAATGGGGATGGCAAGAAGAGGAATAAGTGGAGAGATATTTAGAAGTAAAGTCTGCAGAGCCTGGTGATTGACTTGCAAAGTAGGTGAAAAAGAAATCTAGGGTGGCTTCTAGATATCTTGCTAGGCTGACTTGGCTATTCTTGCTTCAAACCTGGATTTAGGGTTAATGTAATACTTTTGAGATTATCCTCCAAGCTCTTTTCCTCACCATCACATTTTAATTTGTAACTGGACTGTATCTTCAGTCATTCAAAGTCCCCACTAGCTGAATGATTTGAAGAGTTTGAGGCTTATGAATTCTTCTCAACAAACCCTTCTCTTAGTGATTCTTTCCTCTGAATTTTTATTGTACTTTAACCAGATTTCTATCGCCACTTATCACATTGTATTGTAATTGAAATAGGTTGCCTACTTGTCTATCGCCATTGGACTAGGAACACCTCAGAGGGCATAGTGTTATATTTATGTTTTTACCAATGCTTGGCACTGAGAAGAAACTGAAGCAATAATTACAGAATTAGTGGTCATATACAAGAAATATGCGTTTACAAAAAAAAAAAAAAACAAACCATTTTTCACATATAGGGAGTTTGTGAGATGGCTATATTTGAAAGCATTTTCATTATAAGAAAACAGAACTGAAGCCAGACTCTTCAGAATTCCTCCAGTTTATCATTCATTCATTTATTCATCAATGCTATATATTTAGGTACCAAGCACTGGCTGAGGGTTGAAGACGGAATGAATGACAACATCGAGCTCTGGAGTCGATCAGGGACTAAAAAAGAAAGTGCATCTCACTTAGTGGTCCCACCATTTCCCCTAGAGGGCAAAGCCTGACCTTGAGACCAGGTGGAATTGTAGGGGAACTTCAGAAGTCAAGGACCAGGCCTCATTGGCCTTGTCAGGCAACGAGTAAGCAATCAGTGCGTGTTTGTTGAAACAGGTTGAAAAAAAATAGTCATCTTCATCAAATGAACTTTAAAACGGAGATGATCTAAATTCAGATGTAGTTTTTTAAGTCCTTTAAAGTTTAACTGAAATGCAACATAGAAATTTATTTCTATTTGTACTAAATCTAATTGAACAAAATCTAATCGATTTTGTTAAAATCCAGAAGAGTCGGGGATGGGCAAGTTTTAGAAATAACGTGGCCTCCTCATTAAAGAGCCTGCGAGATGTGAGACCAGCTGAGAGCGGAGGCCTCTGGAAGGTGACCCCCTTATCTGGAGGGTGGGGGAGGGAGTGTGCACACTTGAGCCCTTGTCCTTGAAGGGGATTGAGCGAGCCGAGGGGAGGGGTAGGCGGTGCTCGGGTTTCCAATCACAATGGAGAAACCTAAGAGGCTGCGGAGGTTGTGGGGCCCCGCCCCCGCCCCCTCCTCCCTCCTTGCAGAGCCGGCGCCGGAGACGCACGCAGCTCACATTGTCTTCTCCGCAGTGCTGCTACTGAGGTCTCCAGCGCCTTCTCCCTCCTGGTAGGTTTCAGCTCAGGATCCTGAATCCTGGCTCACAGACTAGCCTGGTGGGACGTGCGGGGGAGTAATTGTGTGGGGAGCCGCGGGAAGGAGGAAGAAGCACATCTCTCCTCCGTGGCCTTTCGCTCTGAGCATCCGGCCTCGGGCCCTGACTCTGCCGCTCGGTTTGGGGCGCAGGGCGGGTCGTGCCCTGGCGGAGGAGCAGAAGGCGGAGGGTAGCAGCGGCGGCTCAGGGGAGTTCTATCAGGGGAGAGACTTGCTGCATTTGCAGCTAAAACCGGGCCCTGCTTGTCCTTGGTGGGTTCATGGCGGCCACATCACCCCCACGGCCTGCTGGCGGGAGTCGGGACACGTGCCCAAGTAGCTGGGGGAGGGGGACGGAACCAGGTGGCCTGTGAAGGCTGGACGATCTTTACGTCGAATATTTCAATCTACTACCAAGGTAATAGAGAAATGCCCCTGCACTCGCTGGGATGGGGAGAAAGGCACCTAGATGACCAGCATGTTTGGCGCTGTACTTATCTTTACCCGGCTCTCAGCCTTTCCGGGAGCTATGCGCAAGTTCTTTCCTGCAGGGCCTCTTTTCTGGTGCTTCGTTTACTTTACCAGCCTTGGGTTCTCCGAGTAAGGAAGTCCTAGACTTGTCCCCACAGACCTTACTCGGGGAAATCTCTAGCTTCTGCCTGCCCTTGTGATCTGCTGTTGTTTGCTGCCTGCACCCCGAGGAGGAGATGGTTTGTGCGCGCCGCGAGCAGTACAAGCTGCAGTAAGGGCCTGGGGGATGGGGGGAGGGGAGGAATTCAAAAGCAAAACCTGAATCTTTAAAAGATTACAGTGAGAAAGATTCTTGAAAGAAGATCTTTGTTCCTGAAATTAAGGCACTCGCTTATTTCTAATGATATATATCCACAGCAGTGAGGAGACGTAAGGGACCAAGACTCAGACAAATTTTTACCGTTTGTCGTTCTTTTTTTTTTTTTTTTTTTGAGGCAGAGTCTCCCTCTGTCGCCCAGGCTGGAGTGCGGTGGCGCGATCTCGGCTCACTGCAAGCTCCGCCTGCCGGGTCCACGCCATTCTCCTGCCTCAGCCTCCCGAGTAGCTGGGAGTACAGGCGCCCACCACCACGCCCGGCTAATTTTTGTTTTTGTATTTTTAGTAGAGACGGAGTTTCACCGTGTTAGGCAGGATGGTCTTGATCTCCTGACCTCGTGATCCGCCTGCCTCGGCCTCCCAAAGTGCTGGGATTACAGGCGTGAGCCACTGCGCCCGGCCGGTTTGTCCTTGTGCCTTGCAGCCTGCACTCTGATGTTGGCACAGGCCTGTATATAATGCAGACCATTTTCTTCTCATTTCTTAAAACTCCTTTTAAGGAAAAATTAAAGAAAAGCACTTCCACCAGAAATATCTGAAAGAAAATCTGACTTGAGCCTTTAAATTGTACTTCCTGAAGTTTTCTAAGTTAAAAGGTCTGTCAGAACAACGAATCTGTATTTATATAGCCACCGTTTCTGGATTTTCATTTTCCACTGTTTCCTGGGCGCCCTATATGCCAAAATGATCGTAAACAGACCATCTGACAACAGTAAACTTAAGGGCAGAACAACTATCCATGTGTGTCCTTCGTTCAAGAAGAGATGCAGCATTCTTTCTTCTGAGCCTGCTTAAAATGCAGGCCCTGGCTGAATTTGCTTCATTTTAAGGTCATCTGTTTGTGGAGACACTTGAACAACATTGCATCTTTCTTCTCTCTTTAGCATCCACTAGGAAACTGTAAGTATGATCTGTAAAGGCGAAAAAATCTCGTTTTAATTTATCCTTACAGATGGGAGGAAATATTTTTTGGAAAAAAAGTAGCTATAAGACAAAATAGTTGTTACACAGTTGTCTCCAAATTCAGATACTTTATTCCAACTCAGTCCTGCTAACTCTTACTTTACATATACAGTTAATAAACTAGGCTTATTGCTTAGTCCATTGCAGATTAGAATTAAAAACTAGACTGGGAAGCACTGGTACAGTTTGAGACAGGTATGGTGGCCTCAGATGCGACAGTCTGACATAAAAAGTAAAAACCAAGTGAAAATAATGGACATTACAATGGGTTACTAAAATTATAAGTAATAATGATGAAGAAAAGGCTTATTTGCCATCTGTATTCTCTGTTCAAGAAGGCAGGGTGGTATATATTTAGTGTACTATAAATTGCCATGGAATTGATGTTTATTTCTGTAAGTTTTGCTGTTTTTTTCAGTTATCTAGAAAACATATCTGGTTATCTGATGGCACAGATACATTTGTTACTGTGCAGATCATTCATTTTCCAACAGGTTTCATTTTTTGTTTTGTTTTGTTTTTTTACATTTTGGGGGTCTTTAATTTGGATGGTTAGACAGAAACTGTTTCAGAGACTGATAGTCTCCTAATATGATCCCCTGAAAGGACAATGTGTTAAGTGTCTACTTTCCAAGAAGCTTCTGAGGTACCCTAAAAGGAATTCAGGTTGATATTTTTGCAGACTTTGCATAAAAATTGTTCGTTGCCATTTTACAGTCACTATGTATTAAGTGTGCATTCTATGTCCAGTACACTGTAACACATTTTATGTGAGACAAAATAGAAGAATCAATCCATGTCTTCCAAGAATGATAATAACCATTAATAGTAGAAATTATGTTCAAAATTGGCCATTTATTCTTTTTATCCAAGCTTAAATGAGAGTTAATACTAGACCCAAACTTAGTTTACATAGTTACATATATATTCTTCATAGGGGAAACAAATTAGCTAATTTACACATGAATATTCAGGTTTTTAGCCAGAAATAGTAACAACCTACTAAATGCATGGACTCATAGGGTGAAGGAAGAAATCCAGTTCTAATGGGCTTTCATGAAAGTTTTTACCTTAATGAATTCTTCCATTAAATGGATCTCATGGGTTTTGTTTTGTTTTCTTTTCTTTTGAGACGGAGTCTGTGGCCAGGTTGGAGTGCAGTGGTGCCATCTCAGCTCACTGCAAGCTCCACCTCCCGGATTCAAGTGATTCTCCTGCCTTAGCCTCCCGAGTAGTTAGGAAGGACTAGAGTAGTTAGGAAGGACTACAGGCGTGCGCCACCATGCCCAGCTAATTTTCGTTTTTTAGTAGAGATGGGGTTTCACCATGTTGGCCAGGATAGTGTCAATCTCTTGACCTCGTGATCTGCCTGCCTCTGCCTCCCAAAGTGTTGGGATTACAGGCATGAGCCACCACGCCCAGCCCGGCCTCATGGTTCTTTAAAATACATTCTGCTTTCTAGAATATCATTAGGCTGATTTTAAGTTGTACTTCAGTTCAAAATTGCAACAGTATCATTTTAAGGATGATTTCTATTTGAATTTCCTATGCAGATATATGTGTAATGTTTTGATTCTTTCCTTGCAGTGCAAAATGGCAACTCTTAAGGAAAAACTCATTGCACCAGTTGCGGAAGAAGAGGCAACAGCCCCAAACAATAAGATCACTGTAGTGGGTGTTGGACAAGTTGGTATGGCGTGTGCTATCAGCATTCTGGGAAAGGTACATTTCAAGAACACCATAGATGATAGAGAAGTTCAGCATGTGCACACAGTTTCTTTGGGCACCTTGGAATTTTATTATATCTCTGAAAGATTTCTTTTTTTCCTGAACAATTTGAAGTTGTAGATGTAATTCTATTTCACTTTTAAATATTTAAGCATGTATCTCCTAAAAGAATTATATTCTCCCTATGTGACCGTAATAGTTACTGCACTTAGAGAATTTAACACTGATGCAATACTATCATCGAGCATATACTATTAACATTTAAAATTCTCCATGTTGTCAAAAATCTCAAAATCATGCCATTTATAGCTATTTTCACTTCAGTGCAAGATCATGTGTTTCATACACTTGTCATGTCTCTTCTTTAATCTGGAACTGTTACTCAACCTTTCTTTGTTTCTTCTGTCATTGACATTTTTGTAGCATCCAGGTGAGTTCTGTAGAATGTCCCTCAGTTTGTCTGTCTGATGTTTTCTTGTAATTCAGCTCGGGTTGAATTTATTGGGTGGGATTGGAACTAGGTGATGTCATGTCCTCCTTTGTGCAGACCATCAGGAGACACATGATGTTCAACTTGTGTCATTACTGCTGAACTTAATCCCCTGGTTCAAGTGGTCACAGCAAGCCTTCTCTACTGCAAAGATCCCTTTCCCTCCTTTAATTAATAAGTAGTGTGTGCATGCACGGCTTTGTGAGTTTGTGGGAATGTTCTGTTAAGCCCTTGAAACTTTTACCTATTGGTTTTATTTTGAAATGATTTCAGATTTTGAAATGATTTTATTTTGAAATGATTTCAGATTTACAGAAAGTTTGTAAGAATGGTAAAAAAATGGTAAAAAAAACTTTCATAAATACTTCACTGACATTTACCAATTCTTAACATTTTGTTATTTATGCTTTCTCACCATATATACATATATGCACATATATGTGTGTGTGTATATATATGTATGCTCATAGGTAGATAGATTTATAGATACAGAGATCTATAGAAATAGATACAGATGTCCATGATATATGTGTCTATATCTATAGATGGCTTTTTTTCTGAACCATTTGAAAATAAATTGCAGATATTATGCCCTTTACTTCTAAGTCCTTTAGAGCAGCAGTCCCCAACCTTTCTGGCACTAGTGACCAGTTTCGTGGGAGACAATTTTTCCACAGATGTGGGGTGAGGGGATGGTTTCAGGATAAAATTGTTCCACTTCAGATCATCAGGCATTAGCTAGATTCTCTAGATTCAGCACTGGCCCGTGACCTTGGTTTTGGGGACCCCTGTTTTAGAGTACATTTCCTTAGAACATATTCTGAGATAATCAGTGCAATTATCAACATCAGGAGGTTTAACACTAATACTATACTGTTTTCACCTTCCACTTCAGTTTTTCTTATATACCTCCATAGGCTTTTTGCCTTACCTCATATGTATCCTTTATAGTTCAAACCACAGTTAAGCTTTCTTTAGTTCTGAAAGACTTTTGAGGAAAAAAGCCCTTTTCTTATTTATCTCACTGAATTGATTCCTTATTTCTTCTGCTGGCTGCCTTAAATGTAGGAACAACAAAAACAAAAATGCTGCCTTGCCTTCAGGAGAACACACTGTCCCTTTGTATCACATGTAAAGGCTGCCTGAATAACCCCTAACGAAGCACATTTCTGTTTTCAAAGCTTAAATTCTAAAGCAGCAAACTGAATCTTTACTGAGAAACACTTATCAAAAAAATCAACTAAAAAACGTAGTGGACACCGATGAACGTTTTATCCTTTTGCATTTCCTTCTAGCTAGCTTCAATTGACTTAGGTAACTATCATTTAGGATAGCAGCTCCCTTGATTACAGGGAATTGAAATAACCACAATTTCATGCTCACTGTTCATGCCAATAAAAACAAAAAGTATTCCAGTTTACATCCTTTTGAAAAAAAAGTTGAGTATGTGCCATGTTCAAAGATAAAATACTTCATTTTAAACAACCTTAGGAGATAGGAGCTGTTCATATACTTGCTGTTGGATGAGATAGTTGATGCTTAACAAGCCTGTCCACAGTCTCACATGTGGCAGTGGTAGAGCTGTATTTTGAACCCAGGGCTCTGAACTCTTCACCGTAGTGACTTGACAATTTTCATTTTATTATTCAATGCTACTGTTTAGGCATTTAGAAAAAAATAAATGCATTCATTAAATACTAGCTAGAGATTTTTCTTTCCTTCTGTTAATCTCAAAACTTGGGCCTTTCAGGAAACTATATCTGAGCTATCATGATTCTATAAGAAGTACCTTTATGATGTTGTAATCATAAATTTTAAATTCTCTTCAGTAAATAATTTAATTGAGACTGTGCCTGGAGTTATATAACACGTTGGCTCAACTCAAGGGCTTAAGGGAATAGCCCCTGCTGCTACCACAGTTGGATTCTTCAGATTCAGAGACTATGATTTCTGTCTTTCTGGGGTGTTTTTTTTGTTTTGTTTTGTTTTTTTTGAGACAGAGTCTCACTTTGTCTCCCAGGCTGGAGTGCAGTGGCGGGATCTCAGCTCACTGCAACCTCCACCTCCTGGGTTCAAACAATTCTCCTGCCTCAGCCTCCTGAGTAGCTAGGACTACAGGTGCGTGGCACCCACGCCCGGCTAATTCTTTGTGTTTTTAGTAGAGACAGGATTTCACTGTGTTAGCCAGGCTGGTCTGGAACTCCTGACCTCATGATCTGCCTTTCTCGGCCTCCCAAAGTGCTGGGATTACAGGTGTGAGCCACTGCGTCCAGCCCTGATTTCTGTTTTTCAATCTAGCATTCTTTTCCCTTTATCTTTTGCAAAATGGAGTACATTGCCTTAGAAATAAAGTGAAGACTATCTAACAAAGAATATTTTTGAAACTGTAAGTACAGGAAAGAATGACTGACTTGTTGAAAGATGGTTTTACCAATTAAAAATGTCTAAATATTATTTTAATGGTTAAAGGTAGAAAGTGGTTCAAAATTGTGTTCATACATGGTAAAGATTAGAAATCCCACTAGCTTAATAGAGAAAGGAAAATAACTCTGCATGTGGGTGTTTGTATAGTACTTCATTTATTCCTTTCTGTAACCTGTCAGAGGATATTGTCATGTATATCGTATGGTCGAAAAAAACAAAAACCAAACACCCAAGATGACACAGATAGTACATGCCAGATCTGGCCTTTTTGAGCTCATAGATCGTGTAATTTGCCCCCAGACATTAAATAAAAGTATAGCATCGGAGAGGTTGAGGAGGGACATGCATTAGCTAGATTCTCGAAGCCCACTAAGGCTGCCTAGTACAGTGTCCCACCGTATGAAGAAGACTTGGTCATTTTTGGCTTCTACTTTTGCCCACTCTTGGCGGCCCATTGCTTATATAATAACCATAGAGAGCTTTCATAAAACTAGTGGCTCCCCTACTTAAAACTCTCCAGTCATTTTACAGTGCACATATGCTGCACACATACATAAAATCCCATGAGGCCTCACAGATCCCTCCCTGCCTGTTTCTCAGAGCAAAGCAATGGAACACAGAATTCCAGGGGCACCATACACACGCAGGCAGCAGACCTGCCAGTGCAACGTGATGGTACCATCTCTGACTTCATCTCTTCTGTTTTTCTTCCGCCTCCCAAATGCCAATCTCATTTTTGCTTAAACTCTTTTACTTGCATTTCCCTTCACATGAAATGTTCTTCCCTAGGCCACAGGGTTGACCGCTTCCTGTCATTCAGATCTTACTGCAAATGCACGCCTGTGCAGGCAGGCCGTCCTTGCCTTCCGACTTCCTTCCCAGTAGCTTCAACATCTTCCTGCCTTATGCATTTAAGAGCATTTCTACCTTCAGAGATTAGCCTGATTTGTTGTTTGTTTAATTCCTATTCCCTTCCTGATACATTCCATGGCTTCAGAGACTTTATCATAACTGTATACCCGAGTAGCAGGATAATGCCAGGCACTTATATGATAAATAAACGAATACTTCTGCTATTACTTGTAAGCTGCACTCATATTTTGTCAAACTTTGGTCATGGCTTTATCTTCTACTGCTAGACTTTACTTTTGCCCCATTATCCATCTCAGACTGCATTTTAACCACCAAGACAGGAGGATCTGAATGTCGAACTTATCATGTTGTAGGGGTCAGGAAGAGCTTTGAGGCAAGATTATCATAAATCCTTAGCTTCTAAGTCTGTCTTTGGTTTGAGTGTTTATCCTTGCTTCAGTCAACTATAGCCATGTTCTTGTGGACAAACACGGTATAACAAAGCTCTTAAGAGGAGCAAGGTAGGTAGAACGACAAATTGCAAAATAGTTTTTGCAGTGCAAGACTTGGCTTAAAAGTAAAACATAATGAAAATTTGGTATCTGTACAACCCACCTCTGGTATGTCAGCCAGAAACATGCTCAAATAGTATTTAATAATAATGTAGAAGTAGCATTTCAGAGGGGAAGAAACCAACTATTGAATAAATGGCACTTAATCCATTTAGCTAATTATTTGAGAAAGGTTATACCTTTTCCTCCTGCAAAATTGTATGCATACTAAATAAACACTTGGAGAGAGAGAGAGAGATATGTGTATATATTTATTTTTTCTCTTGAGAGAGAGAGTCTTACTCTGTCACTCAGGCTGAAGCACAGTAGCACAATCTCTGCTCACTGCAACCTCCGCCTCTCGGATTCAAGTGATTCTCCTGCCTCAGCCTCCCGAGTAGCTGGGATTACAGGTGCATGCCACCATGCCCGGCTAATTTTTGTATTTTTAGTACAGACAGGCTTTCACTATGTTGGCCAGGCTGGTCTCAAACTCCTGACCTCAGGTCATCTGCCTTCCTCGGCCCCGCAAAATGCTGGGATTATAGGCATGAGCCACGACCCCTGGCCAACACTTAGGTGTGAAAATGAAACCATCAAATATTAAGGCACTCGAGGTAGTGGAAGAGGCAGAATATATGGCTGTGTCTGGTCCACACAGGACTTTAGATTAAAAGCCTTTTTGTTAAGTCTGTCACAGAAGTAGAGTAAAAATAAATACGTTTTTAAAAGCCATTTTAGTGATATATTAAGCAAGCTTTCAACAGTGGTTTTCTTGGTATCTAAGTGACCTTGATCCATAGTAAGAATACTGCTTTTGCAGTTAATCTAAACCTTGCCATTTTAAACATACTTACAGCTTAAGTGAAATAAATGTATGGTAAATTCATTTTATAAAATATGTGAATAAGGATTTATTTAAGCCAAACAATAGGTCGAGTACTTAGGCACACGTCTTCTATTTGCATGCCTCTGGATTTGGGTGATATTCAGTGCTGCAGATGCAGCTCAATTCAGTGTTACAATTATTATTATTTAAGTGTTGGATCTCTTCCTTCCTTTTCAGCCGCGAATGCACTTCTCAGGCAATTCTCTACACCCACTGACACAAAGAGACAGGATCTGAGATCCTGTGACATCCTTTTCTACTTAAGCACTAAATTGTTTTGCCCTGTTGACTTCAGCAGCACACATGTGATGTTACTAAAATAAGAGTGATATTCCCAGTGCTCAGTACCTTAATAGAATCGTTATGGCTGTTATCAAGTTGTATCGCATTAATGTAGGACCTAAAAAACACAAATGAGAACTTTGTGTGCTCTTATCAGAGATTGCGAAGAACAAAAGCAGCTTTAAAGGTGTCAAAACGTCTTTAAGGAAAACTGGATAAAAATTCATGCCAGTATTTGATACACATGGAAATGAGGAAATGTTTTGTACCTGATCCCCAACTCACAGAGTGGTCATTTCAAAAATCTGCAAGTAATTTGGTTGCTCAGAGCTAAGGACACATTCGATCATCGGGAGGCCTCAGTCTTAGAGAAACCCTCACAAGCAAGCCCTCTATAACTCACTTCATGAGACCAGGCAGCCACTTAGATTTTAGCAACAGAGGACAGTGTTTATTCATTGTCCTAAGGGGAGCGAGACTTGCTTTATCTAGCAAGCTAAGTAGGTCAACTTTTCTTATTGGTTGTCTCCCAGCTCTCTGCTGCATCTCCCTCTGGTGGCCCCTGCCGCTTGTGCTACTCCACCTTATTCTTCAAAGTGCTTCCTGAACTCCAGTTACTTACCCGCCGCCCCCCCACACCCCCGTCCCCCACTCCTCCATTAATACCCTTCACCTGTGTAGCTGATCGCACTACTATTCTTAGAAGAGGTTGACCCTTGAACAACATGGGCTGGTTCATTTACAGGCAGATTTTTTTTTTCAGCCAAAAGTATATTGAAAATACAGTATTCGGGGGATGCGAAACCCACATATATGGAGAGTCTTTTGCATCCTGTGAATACTGTCCTTTCTGTATACTTGATTATGCCCAGATTTTGGTACACTCGGGAGTCCTAGAACCAATCCCTTGAGGATCATATATTGAGGAATGACTGTAATGGCATTTTAAACTGGGCCCCAGAATTGAAATATTTTACTTAGCTGATATTTTTGCTAACAGCCGTAACAACAGTAAAAGCAAGGACTCTGGTGATGTTTGAATAGGAGGGATAACCATTTTATAAATAGTTTATAAATTATGATTTCCATAAGATAATGGAGTTTCACAGGTGAAAGGTTGCTTAGATGCATGTAAACCAACCACCTTTTTTTCCCTTTTTTTCTTTCACTTTTATGTAGACATTCTGAGAACGTTTAAAAAGTTAATAATTCCAGGCCCAGCGCTGCCTATTCCAGGCCAGGCCTGTAATCCCAGCACTTTGGGAGACCGAGGTGGGTGGATCGACTGAGGTCAGGAGTTCAATACCAGCCTGGGCAACATGGCAAAACACCGTCTCTACTAAAAATACAAAAATTAACTGGGTATGGTGGCATGCACCTGTGATCCCAGCTACTCAAGAGGCTGAGGCTGGAATATCACTTGAACCTGGGAAGTGGAGATTGCAGTGAGCTGAGATGGCACCACTGCACTCCAGCCTGGGCAACAGAGTGAGACTCTGTCTCAAAAAAAA